GCGCGCTGCCCCCCGTGGCCCCTGGAGCAGCCGCCCCTGGAGCAGCCGCCCCTGGACCCAGAGCAGCCGCCCCTGGCCTTTGAAGCAGCCGCCCCTGGCCCCTGAAGCAGCCGCCCCTGGTGCAGCCGCCCCTGGACCCTCGAGCAGCCACCCCTGGACCCTCGTTACATTGCTCGAGGCTTCAGTCAGAGGGAGGGAGTCGACTTCTTCCAGACCTTCTCCCCCACCCCGAAGATGAGCACTCTTCGAGTGCTGCTGCACGTTGCCGCTCAGCGTGACTACGAGCTTCACTCTCTTGACTTCAGCACAGCCTTCTTACAGGGCAGCCTGCACGAGGAGATCTGGCTGCGCCGCCGACCTGGCTTCACTGGGGCGTTCCCTCCTGGTACCCAGTGGAGCCTCCGGCAGCCGGTCTACGGTCTCCGCCAGGCGCCAAGTGAGTGGCACGACACACTGAGGACGACACTTGCGGCTCTTGGGTTTACTCCGTCGACTGCTGACCCGTCGCTGTTTCTGCGCACCGACACTTCGCTGCCGCCGTTCTACATCCTCGTGTACGTCGACGACTTGGTCTTTGCCACTGCTGACACTGAGGCTCTCGCCCTGGTGAAGTCGGAGCTGCAGAAGAGACACACGTGCACAGACCTGGGTGAGCTGCGCAGTTACCTTGGCTTGGAGATCACCCGGGACAGAGCACGCCGCACCATCACCCTGACTCAGTCACACATGGTGCAGCAGGTCCTTCAGCGCTTCGGCTTCACCTGGTCGTCAGCACAGCACACTCCTCTGGCTACAGGTCACTCGCTCTCAGCTCCACCTTCGGACGATTCCGTAGAGCCGAGTGGTCCTTACCCAGAGCTAGTGGGGTGCCTCATGTACCTGATGACCTGCACTCGTCCTGACCTTGCGTACCCTCTTGGCCTTCTGGCTCGCTACGTGGCTCCTGGTCGGCACCGAAAGGTGCACATGGATGCTGCTAAGAGGGTACTGCGCTACTTGTGCAGTACATCGGGCATGGGGCTCATGCTTGGAGGGCGGAGTTTAGTTGTCCTTACTGGACACTCAGACGCTTCTTGGGTTGACGACCAGGCTACACAGCGCTCGTCACAGGGTTACACTTTCAGCCTTGGCTCCGGTTCTGTTTCTTGGCGGTCTACACGCTCGTCTTCTGTTCTCAGCTCCAGTTGTGAGGCTGAGATCTACGCCACAGCCATGGCTGCACAGGAGTTACGCTGGCTCACCTACCTGCTGACCGACCTGGGAGAGCGGCCTCGTTCTCCTCCAGTTCTGTATGTAGACAACAAGGCCGCCATTGCCTTGTGTCAGGAGCACAGACTGGAGCACAGAACGAAACACATCTCTCTGCGTTACTTCCTGGCTCGAGAGTTGCAGCAGCGGGGTCAGCTTCGCCTTGCTCACGTGGCCACTCGGGCCAACACTGCTGATATATTCACCAAGGCACTTCCGTCTGGTGACCATCAGCGCTTTTGTACTTTGTTGGGCCTTGTGCCTACGTTTCCACACTTGCTGTAGTCTCTGCTTGTACTGTGATCTATATACATATACCTGCATGCTTGCTCTTGCTAGATAGAGATCACTGTGCTGTTCTTGTTGCTTATATACCTCTGCATGTGGACTGGCCTTGTGGCCGTTTGCTTGTGCTAAGTGTGTGTGGTGACGTTCTGATCCACCCTGAGCTGTGTTTTGTTTCTTCTCTTGGCTGGTCTTGTGACCATTGCTTGCTCTGGCTATCCCCCATTTTGCCTATGGGGGTGTGTCAAAACATATGCATATTATTATCTAGGCTATATTGGGGCTAGCCTTAGGGGGTACAGGAACATTCTCGACACTCTAGTTTTGTATCCCAACCTTCACCTAATGACATCATTCCATGCCTATATTCTAAGAGTGCATGGTGGCACTAGCAAGGGAGCTAGATCAAGAGGCAGCAAAACGAGGAGCAAACAAGGGACCAGAGGACATATGGGAGGATGAGGAGGTGCTACGCTGGGTGCAAGGCAAGACAGGAGAGGCGGAGGCAGTGGGAGAGAGAGCCTGGGCGAGAGGGCAACATTACAGGTGGTACCAAGACCAGCTGCAGATCAAATCCGCCAGTGGCTGGAAGGTGGTCCCGAGGAGGGAAGAGAGGGAGGAGATCGTCAAGAAGGTGCATAGGCAGCTGGGACACATTGGAAACCTGAGAACCTATCAGCTGCTAGAGACGACATGGTGGTGGGCAGGGATGAGGAAGGAGGTAAAGGAATGGGTGGAGGCATGTGAGCTATGCGACAGGAACAGGGCGACGCTGGAAAGGGGAAGGCAGGAGCTGCAGTCACTGCCCATACTGGGACTAGGCTTCAGATGGTCACTAGACCTAGCAGGCGAGCTGCCCCTGAGCCGCAGAGGCAAACGGTACATCTTGATCATGATAGAGCACTACAGCAAATGGGTGGAGGTGAAAGCGCTGCCGAGCAAGAATGCAGCCAGGATTGCAGAGGCCTTTGAAGAACAGGTGCTCACCAGGTTCGGCACATGTGGGGAGGACCTCACGGACCAAGGAACGGAGTTCCAAGGAGAGTTCACGCAGCTGCTGAAGAAGGCGGGCATAATGCACAGGCGGACCTCAAGGTATCGCCCGCAAGCTGACGGGCTGACCGAGAGGTTCGTACAGACTATAAAAAAAGGACTGAGGGCGTACGGGGAAGAATACAAAAGGGACTGGGACGCCAGGCTGCCCTGGGTGGCAGCAGGATACAGGTTCAGCAAGCAGGCAGCACTGAAAGACCTATCACCCTACTACCTGCTGCTAGGAAGAGAGCCCATCCTACCTGTAGATGCCCCCTCGGAAAACACATCTTCAGCGGTGCCGGCCTTGGTGTCAGTCTCCGTGCAACCCTCGGCGCCTTTGCCGCCCTCCTCGAGACCCTCCTCCTCAGCGTTGTCACGCATTTAAGATGGCATGCATAGATTGAAGAGCAAACTATATATAAATGAGTGACCATAGCTAGAGTAGAAGCGAGTCCCACTGAAAACGGACAGGACCAAGGGGCACGGCAAGGGAACCAGGCGAGGCATGTCAGGAGGCTTGGAAGGAGGGAAACCAAAGTGAGGTTCGGTTAGGAAATCAAGAGATCGGCAAGCAGGCGGGAAGCAGAAGTGGCCCAGCCGTTGAGAGCAACGGCTGTAAAGGTGATACTTAGGCAGGTAGGAATGCTAGGTCCCACAGCTTGTTTGTTAGTTTTTACCTTATACTGGGAATTTGTCATGTCAAGTGCATCAACTGTGTGACACCTAGCTAGTGAAACCAGCCCAAGCAAGCTAAGCTGCGTGAGTGCAGAGACTCTGCTGAGAGAGTCAGCTGAGTTAGCAAAGACGTTCGCACACCCTTCAGCAGTGTGGGGCTGCGTTCTTTTAAGTGGACAGTGCAGCAGAGGAGAGCAAGCCGCCAACAAGAGAGGACAGCAGGGCAGGAGCAAGCAAAGAGGAGCACCAGCAGCTAAAGGAAAGGAGCAGAAGAGGGAGAGGCACGGCGGCAACACTGGACAAAGAAGAGGAGACAAGAGAACGGGGAAGAGAAGGGGAGAAGAAAAAGGGAGAGGCCTTAATCCGACAGCGTCAGGGATATCGTCGTCGGCGCCGACTGTAGATTCGTCCCACGTACAATCGTCGGGATGGCCCCAGCGTTGTCCTGGCACATAATCAGCATCCACATACTCATCTGTGGGCTTCTTAGACTCTGGTTCCGAGAGGTATTCGTCGAACGCCGATTGGAGCAGACGCGTGAGCACGGGAGAATTGCCCGTGTGAACGGGAGACACCGGCAATGGGTGAGAAGGAGGAAGAGGAGGAACAGGAGGCGCAGGAGGCGCAGGAGGAGCAGGAGGAGCAGGCGGCGCAGGAGGCGCTGGAGGCTGTGGTGGCTCTAGTGGGCTAGGTGGGACACAGGAGTACCATCCGTCCGCGTCAACTACGAAGGCGGGCTTACAGGTAGGTTTCCTCTTGAACAAGAAATGAGTGTCAGAGAATTCGGCCATGGCTTCCGCAACATGGCGGGAGAGACCAAGAATCTGAATGAGAAAGTGAAAGAATTGGAGAAGAAATGAGGGTTTGGAGGGGACCCCTTCTGGTGTGCGGCTCGAGGTCCTCTTCAGGAATAGTCGGGTACCCCCCTGCCTAAACCCGCAGAGGAGGGAATCGCGGCACGTATCTGCTGCGCTGGCAGGGATATTCCACCCCCTTCTCGAAGGTTCGGGTGAAATGGTGCACCCTGGCAGCGCATGACATTCCTATTGGGCCGCATGGCAGGATGCACGTCATCACTGGCAGGTGCGTTGCTCCGGGACAGGCTTTGTGCGGTGGGAAACCGAGTCGCGGCTGTTTTCGGCGGGATTTCATGCACGATCCCATGCGCACAGTACATGGTCTCGTTCGCCTTATTGAGGGCTTCAGTTTCGTACCTCTAAAACCAAAAATCATTTTTGACATTATAAAAGTGCCGGCGCTTATGGTCGTTCCTCAATTACAAGCGCCACCCCTAAAAAAACCGATTTTATTATAAGCGCATATGCGCCTATATCCGGGGCTAGACGGTAAGAGAAGGCCTTAATACGTTTTTCCAGTTTCTTTTTTCCAATCACCTTCGTAAGATTTTAACGGTATCTGCAGTGTGTCAAAGTGAAGTCTGTAGACTAAACCATCTTGGTAGCGAAACGAAATTACCGAGTATGAACGAAACATTCCTTCCAGCCGCGATCGGCGTCAATATCAATGTGAAGCCGCCCAGCGCTGGTTTCAAATCATATCCTTCCCAACCGTTGTCGAGTCCTATTTGACCGTCATAGAACGTAAAACACGCCACTCTGCCACATTCAAACGCATTATGAGAACTTCCGTTCAGTCTCCGCCTTCTGTCCATCACTTCTCCCCGTGAAAGATTCGCGCAGAAGGTTCTCCGCCTCCCCTAGCAGACCTTCCGCGATTCTTCACTTCCGCTTCCGCAAATGGCAGCGCTCCGCCATCCGCCCTGCGCCGCTCTTGCTTCCCCATGGCTGCGCCCAGACGCGCGGCCGCTGCTGCGCAGACCCGCGGGCGCAGGCGGGGCGGAACGCCATGTGCGCAATCCGCCACCGAACCGGGTTCGCGGAGTGCGGGCGGATTCCCGCCGCGCGGAGAGTGATGCGCGCGGAAATTGCGCGGACTTGGCGGAACAAGGGGGACTCGGCGTTACGAGGTGGGGCCGGAGGATAGCGGGGGCCTGCGACTGAAATTTGTGGCGGCGTGGAGGGAAATCAGGCGGAGAAAAATCAGGCGGAGAAAAATCAGGCGGAAAAAAATCAGGCGGAGAAAATCAGGCGGAGTTTTGAGGCACACGTGCGCATGTTCCCCGAGAGTTTACTCTTCCGAGGCCCTTATCCATTCCCGCTTCTCCCCGCACCATCCCCTTTTCCATTCCCCTCCCCCATCCGCAGACGAGCGCTCCTCTCGACTACCGTCCCTCTCTCCATCGCCCTGCTCGCGTCCCCTGCTCCCGCAGGTGAGACCATTCCCCCCGCCCCCTGCTGCCGCGGGTGATACCGTCCCCCCCGCCCCCTCCTCCGCAGGCGAGACCCGCCTCCCTGCTACGATGCCCTTCCCCCTCTCCCCTACCCTCCTCTCGTCCACCCTACGTCCTTCCAGCCCTCCCCCTCTCCGTCTCCCTGCTCGTCCCGTTCCTCGGTCCAGCAGGTCAGTACCATGCCCCTTCCCCTCTTCCATCCCTGCCCCACTCTCGTCCGCCCCACCCCCTTCCCCTCCCCTCTCTTCCCCTTCCCCTCCCCCATCCCCACAGGTAAGTAGAGTACTCTACTTACCTGCCCTCCTCTCGTGCACCCTACGTCCTTCCAGCCCTCCCCCTCTCCATCGCCCCTCTCGTCCCGTTCCTCAGTCCAGCAGGTCAGTACAACGCTCCTGCCCTGCCCTCCCCTTCCCTTCCCCCTTCCTCCCCTCCTCGCCCTATCTTTCCCCTCCCCTACTCGCACTGTATTCCCCCGTGTCTACCAACCCTCTCTTCCTGCTTCCTCTTCCCCACTCCACTTCCCATGTTGCCCTATTCCCCCTCCCCCTCCGTCTCCCCTCTCCCCCCCTCTCCCCCCCTCTCCCTCCCTCTCCCCCACTCTCCCCTCCTCGTCCCACCTCCCCCCTCTGTTCGCCAGTCCCTGCCTTGGGCGATCCTTCGGTCACCATTGCTGACGTCACTCGCGACGTCACGCCAGCTGGCAAGCTGCCTGCTGCTGAGGTGAGGGGAGTGGGGGTGGGATTGGGAGTGAGAGGGGGAGTGAGAGGGGGAGTGAGAGGGGGAGTGAGAGTGGGAGTGAGAGGGGGAGTGAGAGTGGGAGTGAGAGGGGGAGTGAGAGGGGGAGTGAGAGGGGGGAGTGAGAGTGTGGTGAGAGTGAAAGTGAGAGTGGGGGTGAGAGTGGGGATGATGAGAATGGGAGTGGGAGCTAGAATAGGAGTGAGAGTGGTGATGAGAATGGGAGTGGGGGTGGGAGCGAGAATGGGAGTGGGAGTGGGGACGACGAGAATGGGAGTGGGAGTGGGGACGATGAGAATGGGAGTGGGAGTGGGGACGACGAGAATGGGAGTGGGAGTGGGGACGACGAGAATGGGAGTGGGAGTGGGGACGATGAGAATGGGAGTGGGAGTGGGGACGACGAGAATGGGAGTGGGAGTGGGGACGACGAGAATGGGAGTGGGAGTGGGACGGAGTGGTGACTATATCCAATGTGACGCTGAGACTTAAAACGAGTAGGAGGGAGCCCTATGGCGTCCTTTGAGACGTCTCAAAAAACGAGTAGGAGGGAGCCCTATGGCGTCCCATTCCCGAGTCGACTCAAAAGTCCCTCTCTTCCCCTCCACGTGACCCTCCCATCCCTCTTCTCTTCCCTTTCTGCTCAACAGTGGCTCTGCTCCTTACTCCTCTTCCCACCACCACAGGAAGCAACAGTGGCTCTGCTCCTTACTCCTCTTCCCACCACCACAGGAAGCAACAGTGGCTCTGTTCGAACGCACAACCTATTCAGTGATGAACATATTTGACGTCATTCTAAGGCCAAGAATGAACACCACGGGGCGGGTGGAGGTGCCCGAGGGGAACGGGTCGAATGAAGAGTAATTGGCTGCAGTTCTTGACCTTCCACTCTGCTCCCTCTTCACTCCCTCTCTCAGGAAGCAACTGTGGCACTCTTCGAGCGAACCACCTACTCAGTGGTGAACATATTCGACGTGACTCTAAGGCCAAGCATGAACACCACGGGGCAGGTGGAGGTGCCGGAGGGGAACGGGTCTGGCGTGGTGTGGAACAGCGACGGGTATATTGTTACCAACTACCACGTGGTCGGGAGTGCACTCTCGCAAAACCCCCCTGCTGGAAGGACGATCGCCAGAGTTACTCTGCTAGGGACAGACGGGTGAGTTGAGTGCGGTGCAGTGCGGTAAATCAAGCAGGCTGTCACATTGTTACCACCTAGTGCCATGTGGTTGCAAGTGCTCTCTTGCGGAACCTCACTGCTCGGGTTGTCGTGCTGGGTAGGGTACAGATGAGTAGGTTTTCTGCGGTTCAATGCGGTGATGATGTGTTTTGAGTCTGTGCAAAGTGACTAACTGCAGCCAGCCTTGTATTGTTCCTTTTTTCACCTCTCTCCTTGTCTCCTCCTCGCCTCCTCGCCTCCTCGCCTTTGTGCCTCCTCGCCTTTGTGCCTCCTCGCCTTTGTGCCTCCTCGCCTTTGTGCCTCCTCACCTTCTCACCTTCCCTTTTTCCCTTTTCCCCCTCTCACACTCTTTGCCGATCTTGTGCCTGTGCATTCGTCCTCTGCTTTCTCTTTCGTGTGCTACAGTCCTGTGCTTTCTCTTTCGTGTGCATTCGTCCTCTGCTTTCTCTTTCGTGTGCATTCGTCCTCTGCTTTCTCTTTCGTGTGCATTCGTCCTCTGCTTTCTCTTTCGTGTGCATTCGTCCTCTGCTTTCTCTTTCGTGTGCATTCGTCCTCTGCTTTCTCTTTCCTCTCATCATTCTCATGTCCCTTGCTCCGCTCCTCCACTTCTCCCCTCACCCGTCCCTCTCGTTCTCCAACTACTTCATCCATCATTCTAGCTTCTCTCACACACGTCCCTCTCCTCTCACTGAGGTGATTTTTGGGGCGCCTCAAAAATCACCTCAATGCACACACGTCCCTCTCCTCTCACACACGTCCCTCTCCTCTCACACACGTCCCTCTCCTCTCACTCATCTCTCCGTTCATCCCTCTTCTCACCCCTCCCTCTCTTCATCTCACCAGATTTCAGCGCAATTTGGAAGGAGTGTTGGTGGGGGCGGATCGGACCAAGGACCTTGCAGTGCTCAAGGTGAGGCAGGCAGTTGCCTAAGAGGTCATAAGCTTACTGACGTATTCTGGGTAGCTTAGACAGGAGTGTTGGTGGGGGCGGATCGGACCAAGGACCTTGCAGTGCTCAAGGTGAGGCCATCTTTACCCATAACCCTTTTCTAAGACCTTAGGCCGATCCTAGTGCTCCAACAACAAAATATTTGACTTTTAGTAGAAACGACTCTTTTTACTTGGTGCGCTTGAACACCATCCCTCTCCTCCTTTCTCTCCCTCATATTGTCTTCCCTCCGCCGTCTTCCCCTTGCATTTTTCTCTTCGGTTACCTCCGTTTTTCTCTTCGGTTACCTCCATTTTTCTTCCCCCGCTCCCTCATTGTTCCCCGCTTCACCCCCCCACCAGGTCTCTGCCCATCCCAACCTCCTCCGCCTGCTCCCCCTCGGCAATTCCTCCTCCCTGCGAGTGGTGCAACGCTCCTATGCCATCGGCAACCCCTTTGGCTTCGATCACACACTCATCTTTCCGGCTCCCCAGTATCATTCCCCCAACCCCCTATCTTCCTTCCCCCACTCCATCATTCTTTTCCGCTTCCTCCCACCAGGTCTCTGCTCCTCCCAACCTCCTCCTCCTCCCACTCCCCTTCAGTGATTCCTCTTATGCCATCGGCAACCCCTTAGCGTTCGACCACACGCTCTTCTTCCCCACTTACCCCTCCGTTTCCTCATTCGCCTGCTCTCCACTCCCCTTCTTCCTCCGCACCAGGTCTCCGCCCCTCCCAACCTCCTCCTCCCACTCCCCTTCAGTGATTCCTCTTATGCCATCGGCAACCCCTTAGCGTTCGACCACACGCTCTTCTTCCCCACTTACCCCTCCGTTTCCTCATTCGCCTGCTCTCCACTCCCCTTCTTCCTCCCCACCAGGTCTCTGCTCCTCCCAACCTCCTCCGCCCACTCCCTCTCGGCGATTCCTCCTCCCTGCGGGTGGGGCAGCGATCCTATGCCATCGGCAACCCCTTTGGCTTCGACCACACGCTGACAGCGGGGGTGCTGAGTGGGGTGAATCGCGATATCTACAGCGCAGCAGGCGTGGTCATTGCAGGGGGCGTGCAGACAGACGCTGCCATCAACCCCGGCAACAGGTGAATGTGGGCTGGTATGATTGTGTGTGTGAGTGTGCGTGTGTGCGTGTGTGATTGTGCGTGTGTGAGTGTCCCATCACCCCCACTACCCCATCGGCAACCCCTTTGGATTCGATCACACGCTGACAGCGGGGGTGCTGAGTGGGGTGAATCGCGACATCTACAGCGCAGCAGGCGTGGTGATCGCAGGGGGCGTGCAGACAGACGCTGCCATCAACCCCGGCAACAGGTGAATGTGCTGGGCTTTGTGTGAGTGTGCTTCTATGATACATTCGCATAGTATTAATGCGCATAGACGTCTCAAATGCAGGGAACGAGTTTTGAGTCGACTCAAAACCCCTCCCCTCCCATTTTCTCCACCCTCTTTTGAGACGTCTCAAATGCAGGTAACGCCGCCCATATCCTCAACTCGTCACCCCTCCCTTCCCTTTTTCTCCACCCTCTCCTTCCTCTCTCCCTCCCAACAGTGGCGGCCCTCTGCTCGACTCGGCTGGAAGGCTCATCGGAATCAACACCGCCATTTACACCAACACCGGCACATCTGCCGGGGTGGGCTTCAGCAGCAGACGGCTGTCCATATATTGTTAGTCACCCTAGCATCTCCCCCCCACCCCCTCTTTCTTCCCCAACCCCCCCCCTTCTCCTTCCTCTCTCCCTCCCAACAGTGGCGGCCCTCTGCTTGACTCGGCTGGAAGGCTGATTGGAATCAACACCGCCATTTACACCAACACCGGCACATCTGCCGGGGTGGGCATTGCCATTCCTGTATCAGTGGTGGCGCGCGTGGTTCCCCAGATTATCCAGTATGGCAAGGTGAGTGAGTGGCGTAAAGGAAGGACTTACGGGAGAGCGTGTGGAACGTTCAATTCTGTGGTTGCTATTTGAAAATCACTTTTTAGAATTCTCAAATGTGTGGCGTTTTCAAGTCTGTGGTTGTCATTTCAATTCTGTCTATCCATCCAACTGAAATCGTTTTCCAGTCGGGGGCATGATTCTGAAAAGATTGTGCCGCAATTTTACTCATAAGACAACGCATCGGAATATGAGAATAGCCACATCTATCGAAAACCATTTGAGAACTTCTGATATTTATGCACCAAACGCCTAACTAATATGTATGTTCTTCCCCCGTGTGAACCTCTGTGCTTACTTCTCACTCCCACACTCCCACACTGCCACACTCAAACTCAACTCACACTCACACTTACACCATGCCTATTCTTCCTCCCCCATGTGATCCTCCTTGTCACATCCTCCTCCCCATCCCCATCCCCATCCCATTCCCATTCCCATTCCCAAACCCATCAGTTCATTCACCCCACTCTAAGCGTGCCGCTGGCTGTCCATGGCATTGCCCGGCAGCTCTTGAGGCGCCTCAAAAGTCTTAGGATCGTAAGCACCTTAGTCGGCAATAGTCTACTTGCTATTGCTTATCGTGTTCTACACGATCTCCCGAATCCAACGATATGCGTAGCTCTGCTTGAAGTTGTCAATACACACTTCAGCAATTTTCAGAATCACCAACTGATCAATGTTATATTTCCAGAATGAGTACAAGCAGTTTTATAGGCATGTAAGACACAAAATGCGATTCGTAACTTCACTTGTTTCCCAAGTAACCGCGTGCGCCTCGTTTCACCCCGAGTCGCACACGGAACCGAACCGAATTCGGTGAACACTCCTCAAGACCGAATCTGGAACCTTCTCGAACGCGCCTTGGTCTCAGACCACAATTTCCCCCGTCGATCTCATCCTCGATGCTTCTCCTTCTCTCTTCCTCCATTTCTTTGGTTCCTTCTCGATTTCTCTCCCGCTTCTCACGCCGTAGGCTGATTTCCACCGTTTCACCTAGAATCATCCACGCGCTTCCATTTCGCCGTCATTCCGCCGTCGTAGAGACTTTCGCCATAGGTTCCGTGGTTGGGCGAACCAACCCTAACAATCTCCCCTGTGGTTCGTCAACCACGAACTCCACTCGCACTCCTCCCCTGCTCCTTGTAGCCTTCACAGGGTCTAGGTCGGCTTCACACTCCCCTGCAGCTCCTGCACCTTGAACCTCTGCTTACGTGTCTTGAAGTTGAGCGCCTTGACATCCAAACCTTGAGAGATTTTCTTAAGCCTCTCACTTCTCCTCGGCATCTTTACACCCAACACCTCTCGGGTCTCGTACCCTTCAACGCGTTCATCCTCCTTAAGCACTTGCCCCTTTGCAGTTGCATTCGCCTTTGATCCTTTCACCATGATGTCCCCTTTCACAGCTTCAACTCCCACACACTTCGCATTTACTGCTTCATCTTCAACCACGATCGCTGCTGCAAAAGTGTTGACATCGTCTCCATCTCCACCGTTTACTGCTGCTGCCTCCATGGTCACTATCTCCTCTTCCTGCTTCACTGCTGCCTCCACACTCGCAGCCATATCATCCGAGTCCTCACTCTCATCATCCTCAGTAGACTCAGGATCCTCATAAATCTCATCCTTATCGTTCGTCGCGACCAAGTTCATCTCATAGAACCCATCACTGAAGTAACCATCAGCATACTTCTCCCACTCAGGACCAAACACTGTAACCTCGCCACTGTCATAAAATATCTTGCAACCCAAGTCATCAAGCTGTGACTGACTGACCAAGTTCACCTTCAAATCCGCAACTAGCAGCACACTCTCCAGTTTCACCTTTCCATACGGACTCTGCAGCACCACGTCACCCTCTCCTGTCACTGGTAACTTCCCACTGTTACCTTGCAGTATATAATCCTCACTCGACTCCCTCACATTCTCCATCCAATCTGACCTGAACGTCATGTGACGCGTGCATCCGCTGTCCATGAACCACGCCCTCTTCTCACGTCCATCTGTCTGAGCCTGCTTCGGTAAACGCACCACGTTCGCGAGATGCGCTCCTCCCAAAATCACATCCTCCTTTTCCGCTTCCACTGCATTCGCCTTTGTCGCCACATTCCTCTGCTGCGACGGACCCTTGTAGCTCCTGCTGTTCGGATTGGAGTAGCACTCTGCGGCACGATGCCCGTAGCGCCCACAATAATCACACTTGCCGCCAAAACCTCGTTTCTGCTGCCACTCCGCTCCTGCATTTTCTCCTTTCTCGTTCTCCATCGCTTTGCCCTTATAGTTTCTGCTTCGCGGGTTCTCGTAGCAATTTATCGCCTTATGCCCGCGCTTTCCACACTGGTAGCATGCTCCAAACGCCTTCGTGGCATTCACCATACCCGGCCTCTCCTCGTCGAATTCCTTAGCTGCAGCTGCTGCTTTCTTTTTCCTCATCTCCTTCACCGTCTCAAGCGACTGCAGAATCTCCTGCAGCTTCATCAAACTCTCCGGCGGTTGGTACGTAAACATACCGATGTCGGATTCCCACTCCTTAGGAAGGCCTTGGATGATATAGTCAATCATCTCATGCTCCGTCTCCGCGGCTCCCATCACCCGCAAATCGTCGTTGTAGCTTTTCGCCCTGTTGATGTAGGTGATGATTTTCTCGCCTTTCTCCATGCTCAGCATCAGCAGCTGCTTCCGAATCGCCTTCTTGTTGACATCGTTCGTACCCATGTACGTGGACTCTAGGTACTCCCACGCTCGTTGTGCAAAGTTCAGCTCCCCTGCAAACTGGTCCAAATCCACTGCGATTCCATCGGCAACTGAATGACAAAGCTGAAAGAACGCTTGCTTACTTTGCTTTTTAAACGCCGCTATTTTCTCCTTCGTATCCGTCGTGGAAGGCGCAACTCCCTCCATCGTCTCCTCATCGGGGCGGTAGTACGGCAAGAGGTCCACCTCCTCTGCCCTTCGAATGAACTTCTTCCGCCACACGTTGTAGTTGCTCCCGTTGAAGCGCTGGGCTTCACTGATTCCGATCGTCGGTTTCGCCACCAATCGGCCACTCGCAAGGGCCTCAAGAAGAGCCTTCAACTGCGGGTCTCCAAGACTCACACTGGAACCCGAACTCGCCTCGTCTCCCATGTCGTAGGCGTGAACGACTCCTCTTCTCCACTAATTTCACTTAGCGCACCAAGTGAATTCACGACGATCGACGCGCTCGTTCGCCAAGCTCTGATACCAGTTCTTAGGATCGTAAGCACCTTAGTCGGCAATAGTCTACTTGCTATTGCTTATCGTGTTCTACACGATCTCCCGAATCCAGCGATATGCGTAGCTCTGCTTGAAGTTGTCAATACACACTTCAGCAATTTTCAGGATCACCAACTGATCAATGTTATATTTCCAGAATGAGTACAAGCAGTTTTATAGGCATGCAAGACACAAAATGCGATTCGTAACTTCACTTGTTTCCCAAGTAACCGCGTGCGCCTCGTTTCACCCCGAGTCGCACACGGAACCGAACCGAATTCGGTGAACACTCCTCAAGACCGAATCTGGAACCTTCTCGAACGCGCCTTGGTCTCAGACCACAATTTCCCCCGTCGATCTCATCCTCGATGCTTCTCCTTCTCTCTTCCTCCATTTCTTTGGTTCCTTCTTGATTTCTCTCCCGCTTCTCACGCCGTAGGCTGATTTCCACCGTTTCACCTAGAATCATCCACGCGCTTCCATTTCGTCGTCATTCCGCCGTCGTAGAGACTTTCGCCATAGGTTCCGTGGTTGGGCGAACCAACCCTAACAAAAAGGCTGTCCATGGCATTGCCCGGCAGCTGGTTGTGGGAGGGCAGCAAGGTCTATTGGGCCGGGTTGGATAGAGCTGCTTCACTCACATGTGCTCCGCATTCCCACTCCCATGCCCATTCCCATGCCCATTCCCATGCCCATCCCCATGCATTCCCATCAGGTGATTCGCCCCAGGTTGAGCGAGGCGAGCAGCTGGCTGCAGACGGCATGGCCAGGCAGGCAGCTGAGCGTGCAGGGAGAAGCTCGCGTAGTGGCCCTGAGGTCGCGTAGTGGCCCTGAGGTCGCGTAGTGGCCCTGAGGTCGCGTAGTGGCCCTGAGGTCGCGTAGTGGCCCTCTCATCCTCCCACCCACTCCCACTCCCATCCCCATCCCATTCCCATGCCCATCAGGTCATTCGCCCCACGCTGAACGTACAGCTGGCTGCTGATGGCATTGCCAGGCAGCTGGGCGTGAGCCCGTTGTGTGTTCCCACCATCCCTGTCCCTGTGCTTTTGCACTCCCGACCAATCCCTATACCTCTCCCACTCTTCCACACCCATGCCTGCCCATCAGGTCATTCGCCCCACGCTGAACGTTCAGCTGGCTGCTGATGGCATTGCTAGGCGGCTGGGCGTGGGAGAGCAGCTCGCGTTGTTGCCCTCTCTGTTTCATCCTTATTCCCATAACCATCTCCAACCCCGTTCCAATGCCCATTAGGTCATTCGCCCCACTCTCAACCTACAGCTGGCTGCTGATGGCATTGCCAGGCAGCTGGGTGTGGCAGCAGGGGCGCTGGTGCTCGGGGTGAGTGCCAGTGTGGAGTGAGTGGTGATGAGTCTCTGGTGATGAAACTGTGTGATGAAACTGTGTGATGAAAGTGTGTGATGAAAGTGTGTGATGAAAGTGTGTGATGAAAGTGTGTGATGAAAGTGTGTGGTGCAAGTGTGTGATGAAAGTGTGTGGTGCAAGTGTGTGGTGCTAAGTGTGTGTGGAGCGTGGAGCATGTTTCTGCATGGTCTATGGTGGACACACCATGACACCATCTCCATCTCTTGCTCACCCCATTTTCATACCCTTGCGGGCATGTCCGGACTCTTCCTCACTTCCCCTCTCCCGCCCCTCCTTTTCCTCAGGTGAAGCCTGGATCAGCAGCGGCCAAGGCAGGGGTGACGGCAACCAGGAGGGGCTTTGCAGGCAACATTGTGCTGGGAGATGTGATTGTAGCGATTGATCAGTACACTGTAAGTTCTTTGTACCGTTATGATTGAATCCATTGATCAATATAATATAATTTACGTGATCTATAACTTTATTGTCTTTGGCTGTACTGCGTTGGTTGATTTGTTTGTTGGCTTCTTGTTGGTTTGCTTCATTGACTGTCACTCACCCCGTCTTTCCATATTGAACCCCTGTCAAATAAAACCTTCGATGTATGTACAGGTGAAAATGGCTGCTGATGTGGACAAGGCCTTGGATGACCTGTCAGCAGGTCAAACTGTGTCGCTTCAGTTATTGAGAAATGGTGAGAAGGTGATGGTGCAATTTCCTCTTGAAGAGTCTTCATAAGAATTACCGTATATTGGCAACGAATCATAAACATGCACACAGCGCCTGTTGTGATATATGACATAGTTAGTTGCAAGGGCATTAGTTAGAATTGTCCTTTATTGAGGGTTCCTTCATTATAAATGCAGCATCTTTGTTCCATAAAAAAAATGCATATCAATTTTTTCGTGCATGAAGAGAAAAAAACATTGGATGTTGTTTTCTTAAAAATTTAAGGTTCCTTCATCATATAGGCACCATGCTTTTTCTTTCGTAAAACATATTTAAAATAAATCTGTTTGTGGCGGTGCAGCTGTTGCGATCTGCTCTTGGTTGCTTGTGATCGATCTCCACTTCTGCCGGAGCCAATACCAGCCTCCAACGTGGTACTCTCAACGCGCTCCAATCATATCGCGACTCAAATTCACAAAGTAGCGCCACGTCATTTGGGTTACCGCTCTCAGCATGACCCAAACCAATAGTGGACGTGTCGCGGACCAGATTTCTACGAGCTATTGACATTGACTTGTCCTGGACTCTAGGAACCAGCTGGGTGCGTGAATCTTAGAAGGCTGCCGCGTTTCGCGAGCAAGTTAGTCTGTTGAAATCATTTTGAAGTGCCACAGACTAGCTTTCTCGTGAATGCAACTTTTTCCTGCTGCCAATTGCACGACAGGTGTTGGAATTTCGATTAGAAGTTACCGAATTTCGGCGTGTTTCACAAGTGGTCACGACCAATCAAAAGGCCAGTAATCAAACTATTAGTTGTCCACGTGGAACTCCTCGGTAACGCTGATTGGGTTGTGGAAGATGCTCGTCGTACAAGCACAGCATCCCCACTGCGCCACCTACTCCTTTCTCTCAGATGTGTTTCGCCAAACGTCGTCACGTCAAAATCGTTATCGCCAACCTGCGTCTGTCCGTTATTCGGTAACACCTTCATGGGGTTCGTCCAACCACCCGCGCTTGTGCAGCAGGAATGCGCGCACGGACAATGCGGCTGTGTCGAAGCTGAATGCGCGCACGGACAATGCGGCTGTGTCGAAGCTGAATGCGCGCACGGACAATGCGGCTGTGTCGAAGCTGAATGCGCGCACGGACAATGCGGCTGTGTCGAAGCTGAATGCGCGCACGGACAATGCGGCTGTGTCGAAGCTGAATGCGCGCACGGACAATGCGGCTGTGTCGAAGCTGAATGCGCGCACGGACAATGCGGCTGTGTCGAAGCTGAATGCGCGCACGGACAATGCGGCTGTGTCGAAGCTGAATGCGCGCACGGACAATGCGGCTGTGTCGAAGCTGAATGCGCGCACGGACAATGCGGCTGTGTCGAAGCTGAATGCGCGCACGGACAATGCGGCTGTGTCGAAGCTGAATGCGCGCACGGACAATGCGGCTGTGTCGAAGCTGAATGCGCGCACGGACAATGCGGCTGTGTCGAAGCTGAATGCGCGCACGGACAATGCGGCTGTGTCGAAGCTGAATGCGCGCACGGACAATGCGGCTGTGTCGAAGCTGAATGCGCGCACGGACAATGCGGCTGTGTCGAAGCTGAATGCGCGCACGGACAATGCGGCTGTGTCGAAGCTGAATGCGCGCACGGACAATGCGGCTGTGTCGAAGCTGAATGCGCGCACGGACAATGCGGCTGTGTCGAAGCTGAATGCGCGCACGGACAATGCGGCTGTGTCGAAGCTGAATGCGCGCACGGACAATGCGGCTGTGTCGAAGCTGAATGCGCGCACGGACAATGCGGCTGTGTCGAAGCTGAATGCGCGCACGGACAATGCGGCTGTGTCGAAGCTGAATGCGCGCACGGACAATGCGGCTGTGTCGAAGCTGAATGCGCGCACGGACAATGCGGCTGTGTCGAAGCTGAATGCGCGCACGGACAATGCGGCTGTGTCGAAGCTGAATGCGCGCACGGACAATGCGGCTGTGTCGAAGCTGAATGCGCGCACGGACAATGCGGCTGTGTCGAAGCTGCCTCGTAATAGCAGGCGTTTCCTGACACGCGCATCGCAATCTGGTGACGCCCAGACACCTGGTGAAAGGACCTTAAAGGCCATTAGGGATGCTGCGGGGGCAAAAAGCGGAGCGGCCGCCGATAAATCCGGCGTAGGAAACGGCGGGGATGCCGGCAGTAGCAGCGGCAACACAGCGCAATCGGCACTGGAACGCGCACTCGCGTATAAGGCGAAGAGACAACAGCAGCAGTCAGGAGCGACCGCAATCGCGACAGCAACACCTGCTGACAGTAATGCTAACGCTTCCGACGGTATTAACGCCTCAAGCAGCAGCTATGGCGGCGCCGCTGCTACCGGTACTCTCGGTGCTGCTCCTGCTGCTACCAGCAGTGGCACCAGTGGTAACACTACCGGCAGCACCGTTACCAGTAGTAATGCTACCAGCAGCACTGTTACCAGTGGTAACCCTACCAGCAGCAGCAGCAGCGGCGTGCGATCGTACGCGGATCAGGTGGCGGAGATGGCGGCGGCGCTCGCGGCGCGCGAAGCAGAGAAGGAAAAAGCGCAGCAGCAGCAACAGGGGGACGAGGAGAGGAAAGCGAAGGCGAAGGGAAAGGAGAAGGAGGAGGACGATAAGGATATTATCGAGGTGGAGATAGTAACGCGGGACGGAGTGATTAAGCGCCGGACTAAGCGGTCCGAGATGGAGTGGGGAGGGTCCACCGGCGGGAAGAGCGCCAAACCCGGCGGAATCAGCGGCGGGATCGGCGGCGGGATCGGCGGCGGGGGATTAGGTGGCGGTATGATGGGCAATCCTGGGGTAGCCGGGGCGCGCGCGCGCAGCGCGTCGACTCCGTCGGTTACTGGCGCGGATTTTCTGGGATTAGGGTTTCAGGAGGAGCGGGAGAAGCAGCAGGGGCGCGGGAAGGGGCCGCTGCCAGCTGGCCTGCAAGCTGACGTGGTATTCGACCCGGCCACGTCAGGAGGGAGTCTGCCGCAAGTGGAGATGATCGTCGGGTCGCGTGTGATTACAAAGAGGGGGGAGGTCCCGGGGGAGCAGCGGCAGGGGGGGGCGCAGGGGGAGGGGGAAGGGGGAGCGGGGGGAGGGGGAGCGGGGGGAGCGGAGAGCGAGTATAAGCCTAAGGTTGCGACGTGGGGGGTATTCCCGAGGCCTAGAGACATCTCTAGAACGGTGAGAGTGGGGGAGAGGTGGGGGAGGAAGGGTAGAGGGGTTGCGGCATGTGGGGGGGCATTACCGAGGCCTAGAGACATCTCGTGAACGGTGAGAGTGGGGGAGACGGTTGGGGATGGCGGTATTACCACGGCTGATGCCATCTCCACCGCTCTCCACCCCTCTTCCCCATCATCTTCCCTTTTTCTCCCCATCTCCCTTTCAGTGTGGCGGAGGGCGCACCATCAGGCCTGGGGAAGCAAGCACTGGAGAGGAGAAGCGGGAGAGGGAGGAGAAGATGCCATTTCCACCGTTCTCCACCCCTCGCCTTCATCGACCTTCCTCCCCTTCTTCCCATCTTCCCCTTCAGTATGGGGGTGGGCGCACCATCAGGCCAGGGGATGCGCTAGAGAGGAGGAGAAGAGGGAGAGGGAGGAGAAGACGAGGAGGGGAGGGGGCGAGATCACCATGCCGTTTCTCTTTGCCGCAGCAACCTCCTGTGCCTACCCTTCTTTCCTTCTCTGTCTTTTCCCTTCAGTACGGCGGTGGGCGCACCATCAGGCCAGGGGAGGCGCTAGAGACAGAGGAGGAGAAGCGGGAGAGGGAGGAGAAGACAAGAAGGCTGTTAGGTTATAGAGATCCCACCATTGCTGATGCCATCTCCACCGTTCTCCACCCCTCTTCCCCACCAACCGTTCTGCCCTTTCAGTACGGGGGGGGGCGCACCATCAGGCCAGGGGAGGCTCTAGAGACAGAGGAGGAGAAGAAGGAGAGGGAGGAGAAGACGAGGAGGCTGTTAGACGAGTACAACAGAAGGATGGGCTTTAAGATGGACCCTGCTGTCAAGGCGGAATGCGAGGAGGTGAGTGAGAGTCCCCCGTTTGCATCTCCCACTCCCCTTGCTGGTTGAATGAGAATGGGCTTTAAGATGGACCCTGCTGTGAAGGCGGAGTGCGAGGAGGTGAGTTGTTTTGAGATGCCTGCTGTGCTGGTGTCCCCTGGTGGCCCCTGTCACGCACGTGGGCTTTAAGATGGACCCTGCTGTGAAGGCGGAGTGCGAGGAGGTGAGTTGTTTTGAGATGCCTGCTGTGCTGGTGTCCCCTGGTGGCCCCTGTCACGCACGTGGGCTTTAAGATGGACCCTGCTGTGAAGGCGGAGTGCGAGGAGGTGAGTTGTTTTGAGATGCCTGCTGTGCTGGTGTCCCCTGGTGGCCCCTGTCACGCACGTGGGCTTTAAGATGGACCCTGCTGTCAAGGCCATGTGCGAGGAGGTGGGCAGAAGAGAGCGAGAAGAGGAGGAGGTGAGATGGTGAGAGAGGGTTGTGAGATGTTGTTTGAGGGCGGATTCGATCGCAGCAAGGGGAGGACGAGGACGAGGTCTCTCGTGAGATGGTGAGAGAGGGTTGTGAGGAGGAGAGGACGAGGAGGCGGTTAGACGAATGCAATTGAAGGATGGGCTTTAAGATGGACCCTGCAGTCAAGGTCGCGTGCAAGGAGGGGGCGATGAGTCACTTCGACTTGGTCAGCCACGCCACATTTCCTGCAGTGCTGCTCCCTTCCCCGTGGAGGACTCTTTTTTCCTTTTGCTGCTGCCTCAAAAGTCCCCATGGAGGACTCTTTTTTCCTTGTGCAGGCCATGATGGGGCAGCACTGGAGGCACGCTGAGGGGGGGCCTGGATCCGTTTGGGGTGGTGGTGGTGGTGGTGGTGGTGGTGGTGGTGGTGGTGGTGGTGGTGGTGGTGGTGGTGGTGGCGGTGGCGGTGGCGGTGGCGGTGGCGGTGGCGGTGGCGGTGGCGGTGGCGGTGGCGGTGGCGGTGGCGGTGGCGGTGGCGGTGGCGGTGGCGGTGGCGGTGGCGGTGGCGGTGGCGGTGGCGGTGGCGGTGGCGGTGGTGGTGGTGGTGGTGGGTGGGTGATTAGAGATTCCCCCTCCTACCTTCTTCCCCCCTCCCTTTCACGTACAGGCAATGAGGGAGGGAGCGGTGCTGATGGAGAGGGGCAAGCTGAGGGAGGCACTGGAGCAGTTTGGCGTGGTGGTGGCCAAAACGACCTTTCAGAACGAGATGCACGGCCGGGCTGCTATTCAGCAAGCTGTGTGCCTCGACTCCCTTGCCCGGTGAGTGCTGCTGGGGTTCAGGGTTCAGAGCGTTAAGGCTCAGCTGTGTGGAATTGGCTCAAAGCTCAAAGAACCACCTTCCAGAACGAGGTGCACGGCAGAGCAGCCATTCAGCAAGCTGTGTGCCTCGACTCCCTCGCCCGGTGAGAGAGGGTTGTTGAGAATTGCCAGAGGTCAGAGTTCAGGCTTTAAGGGTCCGCTGTGTGGGGGCATGGCCGGGCAGCCATCCGGCAGGCTGCGTGCCAAGGGGTGACTTTTGAGTCAACTCGAAAGGCAGCCATCCAGCAGGCTGCGCGCCAAGGGGTGACTTTTGAGTCAACTCGAAAGGCAGCCATCCAGCAGGCTGCGTGCCAAGGGGTGACTTTTGAGTCAACTCGAAAGGCAGCCATCCAGCAGGCTGCGCGCCAAGGGGTGACTTTTGAGTCAACTCGAAAGGCAGCCATCCAGCAGGCTGCGCGCCAAGGGGTGACTTTTGAGTCAACTCGAAAGGCAGCCATCCAGCAGGCTGCGCGCCAAGGGGTGACTTTTGAGTCAACTCGAAAGGCAGCCATCCAGCAGGCTGCGCGCCAAGGGGTGACTTTTGAGTCAACTCGAAAGGCAGCCATCCAGCAGGCTGCACGCCAAGGGGTGACTTTTGAGTCAACTCGAAAGGCAGCCATCCAGCAGGCTGCGCGCCAAGGGGTGACTTTTGAGTCAACTCGAAAGGCAGCCATCCAGCAGGCTGCGCGCCAAGGGGTGACTTTTGAGTCAACTCGAAAGGCAGCCATCCAGCAGGCTGCGTGCCAAGGGGTGACTTTTGAGTCAACTCGAAAGGCAGCCATCCAGCAGGCTGCGCGCCAAGGGGTGACTTTTGAGTCAACTCGAAAGGCAGCCATCCAGCAGGCTGCGCGCCAAGGGGTGACTTTTGAGTCAACTCGAAAGGCAGCCATCCAGCAGGCTGCGCGCCAAGGGGTGACTTTTGAGTCAACTCGAAAGGCAGCCATCCAGCAGGCTGCGCGCCAAGGGGTGACTTTTGAGTCAACTCGAAAGGCAGCCATCCAGCAGGCTGCACGCCAAGGGGTGACTTTTGAGTCAACTCGAAAGGCAGCCATCCAGCAGGCTGCGCGCCAAGGGGTGACTTTTGAGTCAACTCGAAAGGCAGCCATCCAGCAGGCTGCGCGCCAAGGGGTGACTTTTGAGTCAACTCGAAAGGCAGCCATCCAGCAGGCTGCGCGCCAAGGGGTGACTTTTGAGTCAACTCGAAAGGCAGCCATCCAGCAGGCTGCGCGCCAAGGGGTGACTTTTGAGTCAACTCGAAAGGCAGCCATCCAGCAGGCTGCGTGCCAAGGGGTGACTTTTGAGTCAACTCGAAAGGCAGCCATCCAGCAGGCTGCGCGCCAAGGGGTGACTTTTGAGTCAACTCGAAAGGCAGCCATCCAGCAGGCTGCGCGCCAAGGGGTGACTTTTGAGTCAACTCGAAAGGCAGCCATCCAGCAGGCTGCGTGCCAAGGGGATCTCCCTCGTACGGTGAGAGTTGCTGGGGATCGGGGTTTGTGATTTGAGTTTCCAGTTGCCAAGGCCACGTACGAGACAGTGACAAGGCATCCCAATGAAGGGGTCAAGCGAAAGGCCTCTTGCCTCCTTCATCCACACACATATGCCTTCCCGTTCCTCCCCCAACCAGGTCGGACGAGGCCAAGGCCATGTATGAGAGGCTGACAGGGAGATGCGCTCCCTCTTGCCTCCCTCCTTTAAGCACCCTTGCTCCACCCTTCTTCTCTCCCCCAACCAGGTCGGACGAGGCCAAGGCCATGTATGAGAGGCTGACAGGGAGATGCGCTCCCTCTTGCCTCCCTCCTTTAAGCACCCTTGCTCCACCCTTCTTCTCTCCCCCAACCAGGTCGGACGAGGCCAAGGCCATGTATGAGAGGCTGACAGGGAGATGCGCTCCCTCTTGCCTCCCTCCTTTAAGCACCCTTGCTCCACCCTTCTTCTCTCCCCCAACCAGGTCGGACGAGGCCAAGGCCATGTATGAGAGGCTGACAGGGAGATGCGCTCCCTCTTGCCTCCCTCCTTTAAGCACCCTTGCTCCACCCTTCTTCTCTCCCCCAACCAGGTCGGACGTGGCCAAGGCCATGTATGAGAGGCTGACAGGGAGATGCGCTCCCTCTTGCCTCCCTCCTTTAAGCACCCTTGCTCCACCCTTCTTCTCTCCCCCAACCAGGTCGGACGAGGCCAAGGCCATGTATGAGAGGCTGACAGGGCATCCTAATGAAGGGGTCAAGAGGAAGGCTCGGCAGATGCTGTTTGGCTTCCAGGTGAGGCTAATGGTTCTTTTCATTTCTAAATGTAGATCTTCCCTAGTGTTTGAGTTGTCGCATTCCCTGTTGCTTCCGCTGCTACTGGAGAAATATTTTTTCTTTAGCATCAAGGGGTGTTCAGGGTGTGTAACACTTTCAGACACCTCTACTGTCAGTATGTTCGGCACTTTCAGTCACCCGGTTGTTTATGGGGCACTGTATGTTTTTTTATTATTATTCTTATTATTATTTATGGTGTGTTGTTGTAACAGGCAGCAGAGAATCTTCGTTTCACTGGTGGCTCAGACTACGACTCGTCTTGGTACAAGAAATACTTCGATGCATTCGCAAAAGGTTCCAAGTATAATAATGTCTACAAGGCAACGCAAGAGGATGAGGAGGAGAGCAATAAACAGCTGTTGCAAGATGCGCTGCTGTATGGGCTCTTGTTGCTCATGCCTGTTGTGCTTATTCTGGCAGTGGTGGCAACAAGGAATGCGACCTGATGGTTTTCTGCTCACTCCCATATTTCAATTGTTGGGAATACACTGCTAGTGGCTGGCCTTCAACAGAACATTCATTTGAGCCTTGTAAAATCAGGTCAGTGAGTAATGCGCATTCATCCAAGCGGTGCTTTAGGTGTTTTTTGTCCTCAGCTGTCCACACAATCTTCCTGCAGCCCCTCACCTCCTATGTTGGTACTGTAGTACATGATACATTCGTATATACCAGGCTACATGATTGATCTCATTGTTGCAGCTTCAAAATGCCCCCGGCAACACGTTTGACTATAACGAGCCTCTCACGTTTGATTGGTGTAGAAGGACGCAGTTCCATTAAGTCGGTGATGTGGGGTGAAGTAGGGTGATGTGGGTTGATGTGGGGTGGGGCAAGGTGGAGTGGGATGGAAGAGAAACCATGACCCTCGAGGCAGGACGTGTGGCAGGGGAGATGCCGCAATCACTGTACATAACATTTACTGTAGAGCGTGATCCACCGACACGGCCCACCAGTTGGAATCGGTTGGTTGGACATGGTGCGAGGAAGTGTGGTTGCATTCCCTATCAGACGCAATTTGGTCTCTGACACTAAGAAATGTTTTTGCAGACACCTTTTTAGTGAGGGTTTTCACAAAGATCACAGGGAAGGCGAAATCAGATGTCATTGGAGAAACAGGCCCATGGCACTAGTCGGAAAACTTTCGCAGTGGAGAGATTACGCAGTCTGTGCATACTGTACCAAGTTGTTCGCAGAGCCAGAAAGTCAAAACCCAACCACTTGCCTGATTCTTCACTCGCCACCGAAACACCGCTCACGGTCCACCGAATCTGAAATGCTGACCGAAAACACGTCGATGTTGGTCCTTGCCGGAAGACTTGTTTCGAATGGCCCGAGGCGGCCTCCCCCCCCACAGTTTCATTTTCGCTGACCCAGGCAGGTCCGCCTGGGCCATCCTCCCCTTCATCCTTCGGCCTAGGCATCCCCATTCCGCCCTCCCCGGCATCCCCATCCCGCCCTCCCCGGCATCCCCATCCCTCTCCCTTCAGCCTTGGCTTCCCCAGATCATCCCTGCTCGCCTCAGCACCCCAAACCCCACATTTCTCCCGCCCCCGCAGCATCTCCCTCCCGCATTGACATCCCCACCAAACCATCCATCGTCCGCCTCCGTCGCTTCCCGCTTCCGCGTAGGGCAGGATGTTTGATTGGTCTTCGTCTTCCTCCCCAAAACCACAGACCACTGGCCTAGGACTGTAGCGCCACGAGGTACTACAGTCGATGCCCTGCCTATCACAAAAAAAATTGCTCCTTCCAATTAGACATTTAGTCACTCGCGAACGTTTTGCCCGTGAGTGACTAAATCGACCATTGTGCCGATTTTCAGGGTACAGTCACCAAGTTGCGGAAGAAAAACATCTACAGTTCATAAACAACAACGGTTGCCCGTCATCAGAAATGTTTACACCGAGTCCTCGGCAATTTCACGCCCCCCTCGAGAGGGTCAGTCTTGTCTGTGGTGGCGGGGGGGTGAAATTGACCGTAACATTTATGTAGGGGAGTCTGCAGGGGATGCCCCCGCGCAGCACCCAACCCCACCGACCCACGTATCGACAAGGGGGGGGGGTGAAATTGGCCCTAGTGAAGTTGGCGAGGACTCGGTGTACCTGGTTACGAGATTAAAATCCTTGACTCGATTCGCACATGCCGCCCGCCTACCTGGTGTTCTCGTAATGAACACCGACTGTACCAGCTCAGCCACTGGAGCAGATCTTCTTCAACTTTGCGCAACTGTCCCAACCCAACCACACACCAATCACCCACCGAATCGAATCCTCGCGCTCGCTGCTTGTTCTGTATCCCCCCCTACGCCTCCTCATCCCTCCAATTTACACCCAAACGCTTTCCCCAAGAACCCAAGTACAGTGCGGTTTCTCCCCTCTCTCCCCCTTCTCCCCCCAATTCCCCTCCAACATTTCCGGACCAGACCATCGAAGCTCGCAGGTACGATTTGGGCGGGCGGCGCCACTGGTCCGCAAAACGTGGCATTTTTCGGCCCTCCAGACCAGACCAGACATGCGATGGGATGGAATGAGGGAAAGCCACGTCTATAAAAACATCCCCCAAACCAAACCTAACGGTACAGTAACAGCCTCGGCTCTGCTCTACCTTGTCGCTCACTCCCCTAACCTCCCCTTCCCCCCTTCCCTCCCTTCCCCCTTAAAGCCCGCGGCCCAAATTGCAAGCCGCGCGGTTCAAGTTTTTAAAACTTGTTCCCCTGACTTTCGGGTTACCAGGTTTCTGGGAGACAGAGGTCCGCGCGACACAACTCAGGCTGTGAGCCAATGAGAGTTGACTACCCCTATGTTGAGAACCAATGAGATTGAACACAAATGTCTTCAGTCGCAAACCAGGGCTCGGCAGAACCAACACACACCCAAAAACTTGAAAACGAGGGTGTGCAATTTGGGACTCTTGGACACAAACAAGTACCCGCTGCACTAACAAAAAAGCCCACGCACAACTCGAACGCATAGTAGGAACGGCCATGGCACGCCTGCTCTCAATCGTAATGCTATATACTGGGAACTATGGCAAGCTAGCAGCGGAAAATAGGGGCATTGATGGTGCTGGTGCTATTGCCTGTTTCTGGCACCTCCGAGCAGAGCGCACATCCAGACGATGCGACGGCGATGGTCGCGTTCGTCGTATGACCGAAGGTCGTTTAGATAGTAGTCCCAACCATGCCGGCACTCCGTCGACTTGCCATGTCGACGAAGCTGCTCGCAGGGTTGGTACATCGCGCTGCGTCACTTCGCGCAGCGTTTCGACGCCTTGCGCCTCGACGCGCTGCGTCTCATGGCGTAGACAGAGATCGCGTGGGGTTTCATCGCGCATCCTCGTCGCTCTCTACGCCTCGGACCGGAAAAAAGCCCTGTCGTCATTCGAATCGCGTGAGCGACCTCATGGAAATCCGCGCAGCCCTTTGGTTTACGGTCCGTATTTGAAATGATCACTGCGCAAACAAGTACCCAATGCAAAGTATGCGATGTTCCCTGAACATCCCCCTCCCATCGCCTCCACTTCCCCCTCCCGTCGCCTCATCTTCCCCATCCCGTCGCCTCATCTTCCCCCTCACGTCACCTCAACTTCCCCCTCCCGTCGCCTCCACTTCCCCCTCCCGTCGCCTCCACTTCCCCCTCCCGTCGCCTCCACTCCCCCCTCCCGTCGCCTCCATTTCCCCCTCCCGTCGCCTCCACTTCCCCCTCCCGTCGCCTCCACTTCCCCCTCCCGTCGCCTCCACTTCCCCCTCCCTTCGCCTCCACTTCCCCCTCCCGTCGCCTCCACTTCCCCCTCCCGTCGCCTCCACTTCCCCCTCCCGTCGCCTCCACTTCCCCCTCCCGTCGCATCCACTTCCCCATCCCATCGCAAGCACTTCCCCCTCCCGCCCCCTCCACTTCCCCTTCCCGTCGCCTTCGCTTCCTGCTCACTCTCTCCCCACTGTCCCCATTTCCCCTCCCCACCCTTCCCCGCCGCCCGTCCGTGGGCAGCAAAGTGGCGTCCCTTTTGCGCCATCGTGATCAAAGCTCCTTCCGTCGCCACCCTATTCTTCCCCTCGCACCTCCCCTCTCCTCACCTCATTTCCCTCCTCTCCCCTTCCCTCTTCGTTCCGCCGCATACTCTCATAGCCTTGCGTCCCCTACGTCCCATAGGCTCTCTGTATCCTTCTCTCCTTTCCGCCCCTCCGTGTGGGCTCCCCCTCTCCAACATTCACTGCTGTCCCGCTCCCGTGCCACGGCGATCGCCATCAAGGTCGAGTCCGGGCCTGGCTCCTCGTGTGAGGGGTGTAGCAAACTTTCTCTCCTTCCATCCCCCCTTTCCATCCTCCCCCCCCCACTCTCCCCCTCTCGCCCCTCCTCCCCACCCAGGCGAGTGGCGATCTGGCGGCACTTGCGCGTGTTTTACGCACATGTGGCAATGAGTGCGCAGCTCATATCGGCGCCCTCAGGCCAGGCCAGGCCCCAGCGTAAAAACTAAAAACTGTCAGACGCCAACCTCTCTCCCCTCCCCCTCCTTAATCCCCTCCTCCTCTGCCTCTCCCCTACTCCCCATAACCTCCTGCTCGCCTCCCTCGCCGTGAGGTCTAAGGAACCTCGTATTCCCACATCGGCTCGTGTCTCCCCCACATCTCCCCCCTCTCTCCTCCTCCTCCTCCCCCCACCCACTGCCGGCCCGCCTGCCAACCTCATCCACATTTCTTTCCCCCATCCGCTATCATCAACGCCCTATTAGGACAAGCCGTAGAGGGAGGGCCTCCTCACGCGCCCTCGAAACCCATCTCTCCCCATCTCCCCCCACCTCAACCCCCCCCTTTCCCACACTTTCCCCGTCCCCACCCTCCCTACTCTCCCCACCTCTGTCCCCCTTCCTACCCCAGGCGAGGCCCCCTCTCCCTCTACCCCACACTCTTGCTTCCTCACCCGGGCTCCCCCTCACTCTTTGCACGCTGCTCTCTTCTTCCCACCCAATTTCTTCCAATCGTTCTCTCAGAAAATCATTTCCATTTTTCCTGCCCCTCCTCTCTATTCCTCCCCCTCCCCTCTCAGGCAATTAATGCAATCACAGACAAGCACGTGCCACATGTCCCAAAGCCCTTCCATCCGGCCCTTTCTTCCTCTCCTCTCCTCTCCCTTTCGGCCACCCCCCTCCCTTCTCTGCCTGCCATCAGGTCATTGCAAGCACCGACAAGAACAAGCCACCAAGTCCCTGTTCCAAGGCCCCTCGCTTCTCCTGACCCTGCTGCCGAGCCTGTTCCCAGACCTGCCTCCGAACCTGAAGCTCATGGCAAGAGGGAGGGAATGACAGCGGGTGGTATGGAAGCAGGGAGGGAGGGGAGGAGGGAAGGATGACACAAGGGAGTGAGAGTGAGGGAGGTGAGGGGTAAGGGGAAGGGTGGCAGAAGGAGGAAGAGTTGGAGGAGGAGGACAAGGAGTGGGATGATGAAGTGGAG